GTCTGGAAGGAGAGTTTACAGTCTAACCAGACACCTAGGTATTTGTAGTTGTCCACATATTCTATGTCAGACCCGCCGAGAGTAGTGATTCTAGTTGGGCGGGCGGGTGCCAGCAGCGTTCGATTGAAGAGCATGCATTTAGTTTTACTAGAGTTTAAGAGCAGTTGGAGGCTACTGAAGGAGTGTTGTATGGCATTGAAGCTCGTTTGGAGGTGTGTTAACACAGTGTCCAATGAAGGGCCAGATGTATACAAAATGGTGTCGTCTGCGTAGAGGTGGATCTGAGAGTCACCAGCAGCAAGAGCAACATCATTGATATACACAGAGAATAGAGTCGGCCTGAGAATTGAACCCTGTGGCACCCCCATAGAGACTGCCAGAGGTCCAGATAACAGGCCCTCCGATTTGACACATTGAACTCTATCTGAGAAGTAGTTGGTGAACCGAATCAAGGCGGTCGGTCACATATGGAATCATGTAGTAACCAGAAAAGGGATAAACAAATCAAAATATATTTAATATTTGAGATTCTTCAAAGTAGCCACCCTTTGCCTTGATGACAGCTTTGCACACGCTTGGCATTCTCTCAACCAGCTTCATGAGGTAGTCACCTGGAATGCGTTTCAATTAACAGATGTGCCTTCTTAAAAGTTAATTTGTGGAATTTCTTTCCTTCTTAATGCGTTTGAGCCAATCAGTTGTGTTGTGACAAGGTAGGGGTGGTCTTTTACCCTATTTAGTAAAAGACCAAGTCCATATTATGGCAAGAACAGCTCAAATTTGCAAAGAGAAATGACAGTCCATCATTACTTTAAGACATGAAGGTCAGTCAGTACGGAACATTTCAAGAACGTTGAACGTTTCTTCAAGTGCAGTCGCAAAAACCATCAAGCGCTTTGATGAAACTGGCTCTCATGAGGACTACCACAGGAAAGGAAGACCCAGAATTAACTCTGCTGCAGAGGATAAGTTCATTAGAGTTAACTGCACCTCAGAAATTGCAGCCCAAATACATGCTTCACAGAGTTCAAGTAACAGACACATCTCAACGTCAACTGTTCAGAGGAGACAGCGTGAATCAGGCCTTCATGGTCAAAGTGCTGCAAAGAAACCACTACTAAAGGACACCAATAAGAAGAAGAGACTTGCTTGGCCAGAACATGGCATGGACATTAGACTGGTGGAAATCTGTCCTTTAGTCTGATGAGTCCAAATTTGAGATTTTTGGTTCAACCGCCATGCTTTGTGAGACGCAGAGTAGGTGAACGGATGATCTCTGTATGGTGTGGTTCCCACCGTGAAAGCATGGGGGGTGGTTATGGTGTGGGGTGCTTTGCTGGTGACACCTGTCTGTGATTTATTTAGAAACCAAGGCAACACTTAACAGCAGTGGCTACCACAGCATTCTGCAGCGATACGCCATCCCATCTGGTTTGTGCTTAGTGGGACTGTCATTTATTTTTCAACAGGACAATGACCCAAAATACTCCTCCAGGCTGTGTAAGGGCTATTTGACCACGGAGAGTGATGGAGTGCTGCGTCAGATGACCTGGCCTCCACAATCACCTGACCTTAACCCAATTGAGATGGTTTGGGAATGAGTTGGACCGTGGAGTGAAGGAAAAGCAGCCAACAAGTGCTCAGCATATGTGGGAACTCCTTCAAGACTGTTGGAAAAGCATTCCTCATGAAGCTGGTTGAGAGAATGCCAAGCGTGTGCAAAGCTGTCATCAAGGCAAAGGGTGGCTACTTTGAAGAATCTAAAATATATTTTGATTTGTTTAACACTTTTTTGGTACTACATGATTCCATATGTGTTATTTCATAGTTTTGATGTCTTCACTATTATTCTACATAGTTCAAAATAGTAAAAAATAACTCTTTTTTTTTTTCAAGGAAAACCCTTGAATGAGTAGGTGTGTCCAAACTTTTGACTGGTACTGCATGTTTCAAGTCACTTATTTCTATTAGAAAGCACTGGGAAACACTTTTTGAAATCGTAGCCTAGTCTGAAGTCCGTCCTTGGATCTTGAATGCTCACCATGGAGAATGAAGATGGTCCTAGTCAGACAGCTGCCCGTGGTGTATAGACCTAGCACTCCTCCATATAGAACATACACACAAACACACACACACTCAGCAGTAACATGAGCCCTACTCTACTGTAAGATTTATCAAAATCCAAGCGAAGGTGACGACAGTGTCATATTAGCAAGTCGAATCTGTAGGCCTAATTTAAGCGTGACCTTTGACGTCCAGCGCTCTGTGACATCATACTGTACTCAGAAAGACACAGAGGTTCTCAGGTTCTCCTGCTCTTTAATGTTCCTACCACGGCTAACCATCAAAAACCAAGGGCTCTATTCCATCTTCATCGCTGAAGCGTTACAGCTTGTGTGATAGAAATGGAAAGGTAACTTCTGATTGGGCCGACATATACAGCGTTTACTGTCAATACAGTCTCAGCTAACGCGGGAACATTGCCTCTACATTTTCATTGCGGTGTAACTCTGAACATCAGCAATACGGATTGGATAGAGTCCTAACACTAGTTCTGCTTCAACCAACTTGTTGTCTTGCCAAAGAAGGAAGGCAAGTCAACAGTGTAGAGTTATTAACTGCAGAAAAAAGCCAGGCATCGAGATGACCAACAACTCTACTTTGTGTCACCACAAAGATGTCAAGTGACAAGCGAAAATGTATCTTTAGTTTCAGTTGAACAGCTGTGAGGCCGTTGTACTCTCTGTTGTGGAGAGGGGAAATGTGCTCTGTCTCTGCTGCTAACCACGCTCTTCAGAGGAAGTTCACAGTCACTTTTAGGTCACACCAAGACCAAGACCAGGGGCCACTTCACCCTCCTACATTGTTGCCAGATTGACCCTGTTAGAAGACAGACATCCCCACCTGAAAGACCACAAAGCCAGATTGACCCTGCTAGAAGACATCCCCACCTGAAAGACCACAAAGCCAGATTGACCCTGCTAGAAGACATCCCCACCTGAAAGACCACAAAGCCAGATTGACCCTGCTAGAAGACATCCCCACCTGAAAGACCACAAAGCCTGACTGACCCCATTAGGGTAAATCCCAGATAAATCCTCCCAGTGTCTCAGGTGTGATTCTCAGGAACCTCCCTGTTCTGTTGTTACATTATTTACAATTTAGGAGACCAGTGTCATTTAACGTGTGTGCGCGAGAATGCAAACATTTCTTTGTGCCGCACATGGTTTCCCATAAACCTTATCTACTTGACCCTACGCTACGCTACAGTACAGAGGACCCTAGTCTGACTGATCAGTGATGTGTAATCATTAACCTCTACTCCCTGCCATCTTATCAACCTCTAGGAGTTACTGGGGGCAGGTGGCAAAGTCCCATGAGCAGATTGGATATTTGCCATGTTGCCTTTTCATGAAGACAAGACAATCATGTAGAACTTGCTGGTAGAGAATAACTGAATTACTGTATGAAGTATTAGAACTTGTTGGGAGAGAATAACTGAATTACTGTATGAAGTATTAGAACTTGTTGGTAGGGAATAACTGAATTTGAGTTTTGCATATTTGAAGGAGCGCTGTACTCGAGAACCTGTTCTGCCTGCGTGGCAGGAATATGGCGGCTGAGTGTGCAATAACTGAGAAATCAACCCATTCCTGTTAGTCAACTTATTCTGTCAGCAATTTCTTTAAAAAATGCTTCAAATTTCTGTTGGTAGTGAATAACTGAATTACTGTATGAAGTATTCCACCTTCCGGAGACACTTGAAACCCCACCTCTTTAAGGAATACCTGGGATAGGATAAAGTAATCCTTCTACCCCACCACAAAGAAAGAAAAAAACATATTGTAAAGTGGTTATCCCACTGGCTATAAGGTGAATGCACCAATTTGTAAGTCGCTCTGGATAAGAGCGTCTGCAAAATGACAAATGTAAAAAATGTAAATGTAAAGTATTAGAACTTCGAGAACACGTGTCTCTTTGGCATTGATGTGTAATACCGGTAAATGCTTTGGTTATTTCAAAACAAATCTTCTCTGCCAACCACACATCTAGAAATGATTTGCCCTGTAGAATAACTAAAACCTGGGGTCCTGTATATTATTGGAGTTTGAAAACATCTTGAGCCAGGCACAAACTTTGAAAAGTGTTTTTTTATATTTCCTATACTGCCTTTACAGGAGGGTTTCTCAAACGCAGTCCTCGGGACCAAGTTTTGGTTTTTGCACCAACACCACAACTGATTCAAATTATCAAAGCTTGTTTATTTGAGTCAGCTGTGTAGTGCTGGAGCAAAAACATGCACCCAGGGCGGGTCCCCGAGGACCAAGTCAAAGGACAAGCCGAATGTTGGCTTCTTGGAGAACGCAACAGTAGCCAGTTAAAGACTTAACTTTATAAGCACGCTGTAGAATGTAGTGGAAATATATTCCCCAGACACAAGCTTTCCCCTTTCTGATGGTGTACCTCTAGTGTCAGTCCCAAACCTTCTCTGCATGACAGACCCAGACGAGATGCAATGCAAAGTTTTTTAATGCAGTAATTTTAGATCAACAAGGAGAGTGTTTAACAAAATGATACAGAGGAAAAGAAAGCATTTCTACATGCTAAAACAGATAACATACAGAAAACTCCAGAGCAGAATACACAAATAAATAAGTGTTTTTAGAACGATCAGTCCCCGTCCACAGCCAAATACAATGTACACAAATACTGGATGTATTTTCAACCACATTTCCCTGGAACCCCAACAATGTGTGGAAAGATTATTAAGCAATCTTACAAAACCACTAGCGATCGAGTAGTGATGCCAAATTAAGATGTCAAGAACTCCATCTCCCACAAGTCAATGCAGGACCGCCCATCGTACAGACCTGCTGTAATAAAGGAGATTACGCGCTTAACTTGTGTTTTTAAAACACGAGGTTAACTAGTATTAGCCTGGTCCCAGATAAGTTTGTACTGTAAAGCCAAAAAAATATAGCCATTGGCTCTACAGCAAAAACAGATCTGGGACCAGGCTATCACTTTGCTGCTTATACATCAATATGAAGCATGATCTACTGTAGTCACTTAACACTACATGAAAATAGCAGGGAGATCAATAGGTTGGATCATTGATTAAATTGGGCCAATAAGGTTCACATCAGACGCTGATCAGCTGAGGGAAAAGTTCATTGGCGAACACGTCATCCCAGGATCCCTCAGAGCAGAGGGGGGAGGACATGTCGCTGAATGGGGAAGGGGACTGCTCGTATCCGGAGTCACTGCAGGCATCCGTCAGGTAGGTGCCAGTCTTCTCCAGGCCGCCCAGGGCCAGGTCAGAGGTCGGCGAGACCGCGGACAGGAAGTCATCCAACACCCCGTGACTCTCAGGGATGATGACCACTTCCTCCGGCTCGTCTTTGACACACACCTCCACCTCGCCGACCTCCTCAGCCAAGGAGAAGGCCTCCTCCTCCATCTTTGTCACACTCTCCTCGTAATGCACTTCCTGCTGCCCGGGGGGTGACACCACCCCCTCCACAGGCTTGGTGTAGATGTGGTCGAAGTGGATCAGTTCATTAAGGGCCTCCAGCTTAACTGGTGTGGCCCCCAGAGCTGCAGGTGAGGGGGAAGGTACTCCTCCCCCCCCTCCGACCAGCAGCACCTCCTGCTCCTTGATCTCCTGCTCACTACACTCCCTGAGGAACAGCTCTGGGTCAAGGATGTCCAGAATGCCCAGCAAGAGATCAGACTGGAGGAAATAAATAGAGAAGGAGAGGAGAGAGGATTACAACTCTGAACAGGGATAGAAGACCATACTTGGGTCTATGGGTGGATCTGGAAATGGCCACCAATAAACAAGACTGGGAACATTATTAAAAACTCTACTGGAAAAGCGCTTGGCTACATGAATCCAATCACTTACTATTCATTATTATAAAAAGTACTGGTATACGTTTTTTTCTCCAATTGACAAAGCCCATATCACACTACAAAATGTATGTTTACATTAGCTGTAGCAGATAAAATGGTCTCAGTCTCACCTCAGAGTCTGTAGAGTCAGGACTGTCTGTATCCATTGGGAAATCTTCAGATTTGGGCATTGCTGGGCCTGCACCTGCTGCGGAGGCACACGTAGCCTGAGTACTGCAGACTCAGAAGACCCGATCCCCAAACCTGCATCAATCCCACTGGACGCCAACACCTGAACCTGAGGAGAGGTGTAATAACAGCCATTATTACTAATCCTAGGCTATGGCAGATCTGACAGCCAACCAGGTGGCAACTTACTTCACCCCCACCTTCTGCATTAGTAGCAACTCCACCAATCCTCTTACCTCTTTGGCTTTGAGGGTGTCCAACCCCAGCCTCTGTCTCAGTGCCTCATTCTCGTTCACCAAGCCACACGTCTTTTGCCGTAACAGCCTGTTCTCAACGTGAAGTTTATTGTTCTAGAGAAGGAAAAACATGTGAACACCTCAGCCTAGCAGCCATTTACACCATGAGAAGTTACATGGTGTCGATAAATATAATTTACCTCCAACTCCAACGCCAGAACTTGTTCTTCCAGGTCCCCCATTTTGGCTTTTTTTCTGTCTCTGGCTGTCTGGGCTGCAACTCTGTTCTTGAGTTTCCTGAAGAGGACAGAAATTTGAAGCATTTCTTAAAGAAATTGCTGACAGAATAAAGTTGACTAACAGGAATGGGTTGATTTCTCAGTTATTGCACACTCAGCCGCCATATTCCTGCCACGCAGGCAGAACAGGTTCTCGAGTACAGCGCTCCTTCAAATATGCAAAACTCAAATCCGTTGATAAGCAACACCTGTTGAACTTGATAATCTACCTTGTATTTTAATTTAGAATGTGCATGTTTTATTCTTAGCCTAGTTATTGGACAGACTGAGCAATGCTGTTCATGGAATCTTTCCTGAGGTGGGGCGTAGGGAGTAGCCGGCTTCCGTTGGACAATCAATTCACCATTGTTCCCCTTTGAGTCACAAGATGGATATGATCGCATTTTTGATTGTTAGATAATCATTAACCTAGGCCTAGTCATAAACATAATGTTACACTAAATACACACAATTGTCCCGGATTGAAACTAACCTGCGAAGTTGTTTTTCTTCAGGACTCAAATGAGTGAGTCTCTGTCTTTTTCGCAGGGGTGGCCCAGTTGTCGAATTTGAGTCGGAATCCGACGAATTCGCTTGGTTCGAAGCAGATGACGGCAAAACGACCGAAATTGCCCGGCTGTAGCCCTGTGTTGCGCTGGGAGAGCCATTCTGTTTCCCAGATATCAAGATTACTTTATGTCCCCCTGTTCCAGCTGTCACCACGACCATCTTGTTTATCCTTATGGACTTATATCGTTCAGAAATATTAGGCTATTTGTATTTATTTTTAAAGAAACCTAAGGTTTCTCTTAGTCTTTCGATCCCCTTCAGTTCTCAAATATAAAAAGGCAGTTCCGCTCGCAATCTATTTCTATAGTCGTGGTGAAATGTGATTGGCTCTCAGAGGCTGTGATGCGACAAAAGACGCTCTCTGATTTGTCATAGAGCAGATGTAATTCGCAATGCCTCCCCTTTCTTGTACGCATAATTTCCCGTCTAGGCTACGCCAGAGATATTAGAGAAAGGACCTCTGCCTGTGCTTGGCACCATTAACAAACCCGACCCGTCCAAAATTCCCAATAAAAATACCTAGAGGCAAGTATTTTCACCCTGGTGTATTAGGCTACTTCCTCTTTAGACAAATTAAAATGTATGTTTCCAAATAGCAAATTAGTTTCCTTTTGGAGTACTTTCTGAATACTTTTTCTAGGCTAATTTATTCTTACGTTCTAACGTTGTACTTTAAACCACTTCTGACGTAGGCCTAGGCCTACATAATTGCAGTTGTAAAAGAAGACTATTGCAATGGAGTATTTTTTATAGAGAAGTCATTGCAGAAGGTTGCATCAGGCGTTTTCACCACTGTCACTAAATCCCCCCATTGGTTTGTCCTCCATCGTTCAATAGTCAATGCTGTTTGTAAATGTATACTGAATTTAGATTACTCCCCTGCCATTGTACAATTACCATCCATTTCACTCATGTTTAGTGTATGCATTCAGGTCAAATAATGCATAGGATGGGATTGACTTGATTTTGATCATATAGGTCAATACTAGGGGAATTTTTATTACATGTTTTTGTCTTTTTATTCCCCAGTCCTTATTTGCATACAATATATATTCTCTGTTCGATGTCATGTGTCACTGGTATGTTGAAGGTAAGTTTATGATACAATGAGGAGGAACATCAGTTTGGGTATTTCCCCATACCTTCTCAGTAGTCCGACATCTTTAACAGTCCTTCAGTGAAGAAAGTGTGGCTTGGAATCCAGACAACTTGTTAAAGGTCCAGTGCAGCAGCTTTTATCTCATTATCAAATTTCTGGGTAACAATTAAGTACCTTACTGTGATTGTTTTAAATTTAAATGGTCAAAAAGAAGCAAAAATAGCTTCTTAGAAAATAGCAATTTCTCAAACAAGAATTTTGCTAGGACTGTCTGGTAGTGGTCTGAGTGGGGAGGGGAAAACTGAAAACTAGCTGTTATTGGCAGAGAGGTTTGGAACTCTTTCTTATTGGTCTATTAACTAATTTACTACCTGGTGATCTCACTAGGCAGGCCAAAACTGCATCCCACCAAAACAGGCTGACATTTCAGCTGGTCTTTTCAAACAGCTCTCACACTGAAAGTGCATTATCTTAATTTTCACAATTTCACAGGATTATTCCAACATTTACATCAACATTTACATTTGAGTCATTTAGCAGATGCTCTTATCCAGAGAAAAGCAAATTTTTTGACTGCAATGGGCCTTTAAAACTATGTTGTTTAACTTTCCACACACACACACTGCACAAGCGCACACACAAACACACAAACACACACACTCTCTTGTCTTGGGATTTCATCATCCAACTGTAACAAGATGTTCAGCCTCTGATCTCTGACCATGAAATAGACTGAATTCTCCCGATTTTTCTGTTGACTTTTGCTTTTTTCCCCTCTTTTGATAATACAGACCACTTCATTCACTGTATTGTATATTCCATGTTATGCTTTTGACAGTCTGCATTTTAGTTTCATTGTTATAAAATGACTGTCTGGGATTGTTATATACAGACTTTCTGAGTATGTGATCTTTGTTATGTGATTCTTCATTGCCCATTCAGTTTTATGTATTAAAAGACAAATTATGACAAAACGTAATCTCTTTGTAGACCTCTATCAATTATTTTTGAGGGAAATACCAGCAGAATGAAATGCAACAAGCACACGTAGCCTACTGTTACATATTGTGTTGGGTTTTGTTTCCAGTGTCGGTGGCTATTCACTGTGTTTCAGAGACCAATGTAGGCCTAAACTCTTACTATGTTCAATCAATCAATCAAATGTTTTTTACATCAGCAGTTGTCACACAGTTCTATACAGATACCCAGCTTAAAACTCCAGAGAGCAAGCAATGCAGATGCAGAAGCACAGTGGCTAGGAAAAACTCCCTAGAAAGGCAGGAACCTAGGAAGAAACCTAGAGAGGTTCATAGATGACCAGCAGGCTCAATAGAGGGTGCAGCAGTTCAACACCTCAGGAGTAAATGTCAGTTGTCTTTTCATATCCGAGCATTCAGAGGTCGAGACAGCAGATTCGAGGGAGAGAGAGAGAGAGCAAGAGGGAGGGAGGGAGAGAGAGAGAAAGTGAGAAAAAGAGAGAGAGATCGAGAGAGAGAAAGTCGAAACAGCAGGTCTGGGACAAAGTAGCACGTCCGGTGAAACAGGTTCTCTTGACCAGTATGTTGAGAATCGGGGCCACAACACGGGTTAACAAGTTAACAACTAGTCCACATGACCCTGTATTTTCTGAACGACTTGGGGATATTTAAGCAATAAGGCACGGGGGGGGGGGGGGGGGGGGGGGGTATATGGCCAATATACCATGGCTAAGGGCTGTTCTTAGGGACGACACAATGCGGAGTTCTTGGACACAGCCCTTAGCCGTGGTATATTGGCCATATACCACAAACCCCTAAGGTACCTTATTGATATTATTAACAGATTACCAAAGTAATTAGAGCAGTAAAATTACATGTTTTGTCATACCCATGGTATATGGTCTGATACCCCACGGCTGTCAGCCAATCAGCATTCAGGGCTTGAACCACCCAGTTTATAATTGTCTTCAAACAATTTGCATCTATACTATCTAAAGCTGATGGGGTTTACAAGGTGTAATTCTGCCCCTGAGTATGTCACCTCAGTGCAACAGAAACTGCTAGAGAAAACAGGCTGTTAGCATTGCTTTACGACCCACTGGTGAATCAACATCTGAGAAAGTCTCTTCTTTGGTATTCTCATGTTTACACATCGTGTGGGAGAAAAAACAGGATGCACTGTCTGAAGCTTCTGTTACTCAGAAAGTTAAATATTAAAATAAATATATCTTCCTGTGCACTTTTACCCATTCAATGTGAGTCAAGCAATTCATTTATATCTAATTAAATGCTGAAATATGATGTAGCTTATCATAATTTTGTCATTTGATCAGGTATTTTATGTTACATTATCACCATGTCCTGATGTGTATTTTCAATGTGAGTTGATGGCTGCATTTTCACAGGCTTCCCAAATGCTGATATTTTTCTACTAATTGGTCTTTTTACCAATCACATAAGATCTTTTCACATCAGATCTTTTTCAGAGCTGACCTGATTGGTCATAAGACCAATTAGTGTAAAAAAAAGACCAGAATTGGGCTACCTGTGTAAACGCAGCCTATGTAATATTATACAAGACAACATGGGCCATATGAGTAGCCTTACACTTGTCAGTGGTGTTTATTTTAATTTTATTTATGTTACCTTTATTTAACTAGGCAAGTCAGTTAAGAACAAATTCTTATTTACAATGACGGCCTACAGTGGTGTAAAGTACTTAAGTAAAAATACTTTAAAGTACTACTTAAGTAGTTTTTTGGGGTATCTGTATTTACTTTACTGTTTGTATATATATTTTTTACAACTTTTACTTTTACTCCACTACATTGTAGAAAGAAAATGATGTACTTTTTACTCCATACATTTTCCCTGACACACAAAAGTACTCGTTACATTTCAAATGCTTAGCAGGACAGGAAAATGGTCCAATTCATCCCTACTGCCTCTGATCTGGCAGACTCACTAAACACAAATGCTTTGTTTGTAAATTATGTCTGAGTGTTGGAGTGTGCCCCTAGATATCCGTAAATTAAAATAGCAAGAAAATCTTGCCGTCTCGTTTGCTTAATATAAGGAAGGTGAAATGATTAGTACTTTTACTTTTGATACTTAAGTATATTTTAGCAATTACATTTACTTTTGATACTTAAGTATATTTAAAACCAAATACTTTTAGACATTTACTCAAGTAGTATTTTAATGTGTGACTTTCACTTTTACTTGAGTCATTTTCTATTAAGCTATCTTTACTTTTACTCAAGTATGACAGTTGGGTACTTTTTCCACCACTGACACTTGTAAGGATGTTATAAATCCCTGTACCACTACTGATAGATTGGTTATATTTAACTTGGGAAGTTGTTGGGGAACCCCCCCCCCCCCCCCTGTTACTTGAGTTGCTGAGAGATGAGTGTCATGTGTATACATATAAAAGAGGTTCTGTGGAATAAGGTAACATAAGATAACATAAGATAACTTTGTAAGTAAGCCTCGCTCCTGTTTCTGTAGCGTGGGGCAGCTTGATGTACAAGTACACCCCCTAGTCAGAACGCTAGTCTGAGCCCTGAGCCAAACCAAATATACTAAACTGCCACAGGCACTGGTGCATTTCATGAATATACAGCACATCCTGTATGGGATCCTAGATATCCTGCTGCCCGACCCCACCACCCTCAGGTATCTATCTGGATTATCTACTATCTGTCGTGGTTTGGGAAAGTAAATAAAGGTTAACCAAATGTAAAACTGAAAGAGGGTGAAGAGTTCCAGTGAAGAGTATTTTCAAAAGTAAATGTGATGTACAGGTATTTAGTATGATATATTTTTATTGAGAATGACTCATAGTTTCACAGTTAAATCCAAACTTGAGATGCATGTGTTTCGTTAAAAATTTGACAGCCCAAGTTTTAACTCATATTTTCATGTGAAAAAAATGCATTGATATCCATGATAGATTGGTGTAATAATTGCTATCAATTTAGGATTCAGTGCATTCTGATTATGGTGTTTTTAGGAGATCAGTAGAGTTTACAGAAGCACAATTAGGCCAGTGTGTTGTGTGAAGGGATACAGTACTATGCATCTAAAGGAGCGGTTTTAAGAACACTCTCTTTACTCAGCAATCACTGAGTTTGTTTAGCCTAATGATCCAGGGTTTGGTTAATCTAGAGAGAGAGAGAGGCACTGAGAGGTACCATGTCCACAGTAAACCTAGTGACCCGCCCTATAGTTCCCAAACCA